ACTATTTTGGATCAGTGGGGGGGGGGGGGGGGAGAGAAAGACAGAGCGAGCGAGAGGAGGGGGAGGAGGTGGCGGTGAGAAGAAGAGGAGGCAGCCAAGATTACATCCTGGGTGGCAGCGCCAAAAATAGCCGTGCCCCGCTCCGACTGTGGAGCCGCGGGGAGCCGAGCTCGCGGCCCGCGGGGAGGGCAGGCGGGAGGCCGAACCTGCCGCCCGCTGACCTTTGCTGGAGCAGCTGCCCACACAGGCAAGCCAACTCGCGTTCCCAGGCTGGAAGACTGCAGGGAAAAGGGGATTAGAGCGAGGCGGAGGGACCGCAGCCCCGTGCGCCCAGGGGCCAGCGGCTGCCTCGGCCTCCCCCGGCTGGCGAGCCGGCGCTGGGGGGGTTTGGGTGGCAGAGGGAACCTGAAATCCCTCTGGGGAGGCGTGGGGAGGACGGCACCGAGCGAGGAGCCCGGCAGCAGATGGTGCCGTTGGCAAGACGCGCATCCTCGGGCGTCTGGCACAGGCAGAACCGGCCCCTCGCTCGAACCCACTCCTTCCCAGCAGCGCTGCCATTTCTCGAGGCGCGTGGGGACCGGCGAGCTCGCTGCAGACACGCCAGCGCCTCCCGCTTCCTCCGGGCTGCGAGGACCCCAGGGCAGCCTCCTCGGACGGGGCTGCCGGCCAGCAAGCCCCCAGGCAAGCAGCAGCTTCAGCAGAGCAACATCAGCAGCCACCCCCGCCCCACACGGCTTCAGGAAAGACTCCCACCACCTACGGCATCTGCTTCCCTCTCCGCACCAAGCCTGTTTCCAAGGAGCAGGGGGAGATTTCCCCTGCTCTGGGCGCCACGCGCGCAGTGGAAATGCAGCAGCAGGGGAACGGGTCAAAGCCCGGGCAGCTGCTCTCCAGCTGCCAGAAGTACCGTGCAGGAACAGCCCGGCCGACGAGAATTCCCACGGCAACGGAGCCGGGAGGCTGAGCAAAAGCCAGCGCTGGGCGGGGCGGGGGAGTCAGGACAGGAAGCCTCTGGCGCAGACCTGCGCTGCCCCATGCGCGCCTCCTCCCACGCTGCCGTCATCCCGCTGTCCAGGTGGATTATTGGAGGTGGAGGTGGCTGACAGCACAGGGAGGGCGTTATAAAATCTGCCTGATAAGCCTCCCGTAGGTGAACCTCCCACAGGAATCCCCAGCCGAACCCCGGGGTGGCGCTGGACGTACACCTTCCCCGAGCGACTGTGCCCCGGCAGACCCCGGCGCGAGGGCAGGAGCCTGCCCCCGGGCACCCAGCCACCGGCGCGGCACAAGCTGCGATTTGCTGCCTCAGAAGCAGGTGACGTGCTACGAGATGGAATTACATTTCCTTTTAATTGATCAGAGCGTTTTCTCCGCCTCCGTTTGTCCCGCACCATCTGTACAATCGGGGAAGCCAGGACAAGTAGGACAGTCTGGGGTTTCTCTGCATCAACAGCGGCCTTCCTGCAACACACAGAAGCGGAGTTGGTTTTAACGCGGGGTGGGCTCGGCAGAGCGGTGGATTCTGGTCCGAGGGCTTGGCCCCGGCTCAGGCTGTTCAACCGCTGCGAGCAAACAAGAGCCACCGGCTCTCTCAGACCTGACCTCGCGGGCCAAAGAGCGCAGGGGCCAGAGATCAGGGAGATAGCGGGGGAGCCGCTGCCCTGCTGTACCTGCTCCAGGGAGGCCGTCCGAGACGCTTCGGTGACTCACCTGCCCGGCACAGCACGCGCGCTGCCGCAGAGCAAGTCTCCCAACTGCCAGCACGTGGGACGAAGAGGGATGAGGCAGAGTCTTAGCGGGGTAGAGGGAAAAGGGGCCACGGGGTAAGCAGCCCGGCCTTGCCTCCCCCGAGACAGAAGCTGTTTGGTTTTAGTGGAAGGCAGCGTACGTGGAGCAGAGGCCAGGCATCGCTCTCCCTCCGGGGCCCCAGGCATCCTGCCTGCCCCCGAGCTGCCCGCTGGCGGGGCCCATCCCAGCGGAGACCTGGAGGCAGTGGCGAGGCCCCGGCAGTGGCTGCAGGCTCCCAGCCTGTCCCGGCGTCGGGCCGAAGCCCGCGGCACCGTGGCACGGCTCGGCGCGGCACCGGGCCCTGCTGCCATCTAGCGGCCCCGGGCCGGCCCCGGGCAGGGGCCCCCCCGTGAGTCCCCCAGAGCTGACACCCGGCCATGGAAGGGGACAGCTCCCGTGTCCCCGCTCCCCGAAACCCAGGCACAGACCCCTGCCCACCCCGGGCAGCCCCGCAGGCCTGGCTGCTGCGAGAAGCGCCCCGAGGGCAGCACAGAGCAGGGTCTCCAGAGCAGGTCTGGAAATCCCAGCCGGGACGTGGGTGACATTTACCTTAATTATTCCAGGGCTTTTACAAGGGCTTCGTTAGCTTCTACTTTAATCTGAGCTTCTGCTTTAGCCGCTTCATCGGATGCTGCGGCCATCTCTGAAACAGCCTTCTCCAGGTTTGATTTTGCAGTCTGAACACGAGAACACAAAGAACATGTCACCGAGAGACCGCCGCAGGACAGGTGACTTGTCCTACAGCCCTCGAGTCACTCCTCTCCCACCCCTCCCTTCACCGCAGCCGCTGCCCCGCGCACGGGGCCCCGCAGACCCGCTTACACGGCTGTGTTAGCAGCAGACGCCTTATCAACAGGCCCTGCTGGGGAAAAGCTGTTCCTGAGACTAAGAGGGGTGGGAAGGGGCAAGATCAGCATCTCGCCGAGGGGAGGGAAGTGGCCTGGAAAAGGGCTAACGACCGCACGGCTTCCTCTCCCCACAGCCGTGGAGAGTTCACCGAGGAGGAGCTGCGAGCCTTCGGTCCCGATCAGCGGGCGGTGGGGAAGCTCGGGGTGAAGGCAGAGCCCCCGGTCTGTGCTTTCCGCAGCCACAGGAGGCTCCTGAGACAACCGCCCCAGATGCGAGAAGCGGGGAGCGAATCCCCCTCCAGGAGGGAGCGCGGCTGCCAGGGCCTGCCCGAGGGAGGCAGGCGCAGCCCGGCCCACGGGCAGCGGGGTACTCACAGCCAGATCCAGCATGTCCATCGTCACCGCCTCCTCCGCCAGCACCTGCACGGTGGAGTCCGCATGGACCGTGACAGAGCCGCTGCTCACTGCAACGGCACAACGGCGGGGGCCGAGTCAGGCGGCGCGGGCAGGGCTGCCAGATGGGCCTCGTTTGGGGGTGCACGCACAGGACAGCACTGGCGAGCTGATCCCCAGAACCGCCGCGACCCCTTTGCCAAAACAAAACCTTGACGCCCACCGGGACTCGCTTCCTACCAAAAGGGAAGCTAAAGCAGGGGATGCTCTCAGCAGAACCAAGGAAGCCCGACCCCAGACCACGGCCTCGCACTGAGCCCCGTCTTCCAGGGCAGATCCCCCGCCCGAGGGCAGCTTCCAGCAGCCCCTGGGAGGCTGGGAAAGCAGAAATCCCTGGAAGCGCACCAGGGCACACCTTGATCGGCAGAGCCTCCCTTGCGAAAGCCCTGAGAACAACCCCCACGCACACTGTCCTCCCTCCCCAGCTCCGCCTGCTTTACTTACCAAAGTACTTAGTGGCCGTGCCGTCCTCAGCGTAGACCGTCACGACTCCCGGTTTGAGGACCTGCAGGGTGGGGACGTGAGAGGCCAGGATACCGAAGGAGCCGGTCAGCGTGGGCACGTCCACCTGCTTCACGTTGGCGCCGTTGTAAAACACCTGGACGGGGAGGGCAGAGCGGGTGGAAAGAGTCCGTCACCAGGAACGGAGAAGAAGGAGAGAGGTGGCTCCCCCCACCTCTGGAGAGCCGAGGGATGCGGTGGGCGGCCTGCTCCCACCCCGAGGGCCCGAGGGAGCAGCCCTGCTCCCAGCAGCTGGCAGGCCACGGGGTTTAACACACGGCACAGCGCGACCAGGACGGCCTGAACACAGGGCGGGAGCGGGGCCGGGCTCCGGAGGGGGGGTCCTGGCAAACGGAGCGGGAAAGCGCTCCGAGCCTGCCGAGAGGCGCGGCGGCGGCAGGGGGGCGGCGGGCGGAGACGTGAAGTGGGCGAGAGGCGAAGGGCGCAGCTGGGAGAAGCCCGGGAAGACGCAGGGAGACCTC